CTCGGGGGTCACTCGACCACTTGGCGGCGGGAGTGCAAATGGCGTTCGAAACATATCCCACTCGTTCGAGGAGAGCTGGGGCGTCGCCGACGACAAGCGCGGTCGCTGGTCGCGAAAAAAAGCCAACAAGCGGGGTGCACACGCTGTAAAGTTGGTGTCGCAGTCGAACGGTATCGCCACGGCGACGGTGCTTGTCGACGGAAACGGCTCCGAGATGTACGCCTTTAGTGGCCTATTGAGCAGTAACTCTCGAGTCAGACGAAGAGGGAGGGCGAGGGTACATGAGAACGACGTTGAGCACGAGCAGCGCTGTGAAAAAGACGGACGGTTTGTTGAAGACCACGCGGTGTCGCGGCGTCGCGAGGGCGGGTGTCGCCCACACGGACGACATTATAACGATGACGAAAATAGTTCGAAAGAATATAGGTTTTTCTCATAAATGTCAGGTGCAGAAGGGCGAGGTGGCTTGTCGTCGACAGGCAGAAATGCCGTTGAGAGCAAGCACGCGCAATAGGTGATCCTAGCTCTGGCGCTTGGGCAATGCCAAGTCGCTTGCGACAAGTCAACTTGGTACACGCATCAAAGCACACAAGGGGCGTTGATAAATGCAGTGAAAATCCTGGTCGATGCCGCGCCACCACATGTAGTTCAAAATGATAATATCATTTTAAACTTCATGTGGGTGGTGGTCACCAGCGCCTACACAACGAAGAAAGTCCGACAATTTTATTTAGCGTAGATTTACGTATCTATTATACGACCTACTTCGACAACAACATGTGGTGGCGCGGCATCGCCCAGGATTTGACAGGCATTCATGATATTATCAACATATGTCTTGGTTACCGATATCCGCTATTTTAGCCCCCATATGCTGTATTTTTCCTGGATGAATGTCGGAATTTTCACAATTGGCAGGTTCAACAAGCTTGGGTTCCGAGGCGCAAGCTAACGCAATAAAGCAACCAGTGAGCAACACATTTAGCGCTGACGTGTGCAGTAAAATGCAAAATAGGTTGGAATTATAATCATCGGACATGGACAAAAACACACTACAGACAGAACTGATGCAAAACTAGAGATGGAGGATAAAGGAAATAGCCATCTTGGACGGCTCATGGCTCTTCTGGGCTTGGTCGTCGCTGTTGGTGTAGACGCTGCCGTCGTCGTAGCTACCGGCGTCGTCGCTCTCACAGTCGGCGGTGTCGATGAGCGCTGTGAAGGACGTCCGAGAGGTGTTGGGGTCCCAGTACTTGATCGCGTTGTACTGGGCCTTGAGCTGCGCGCGGCGGGCCGCGACCTGGACCGTCGGCCCGTCCTCCATCTTGGCGATGACGTTGTCGAGGAAGCGCATCTTGCGACTCAACTTGGCCAGCTGGCGGTACGGCCACTTGGGGAAGCCGCGCTGGCGGCAAAGACGGATCACGGCGCCTTCATACGAGCGCAAGCGCTTGGCGGCCTCCTTGAGCGGGTAGCGGAAGTACTTGCGCAGCTCGTGAGTCGGGAGGTAGCGAATCGACTCAAAGACGGGCATGGTGTTGTAGGCAAGTCGGTTGCTTGAAGCAAGTTGGCAAGTGAGGAACGCTGCCCCCGCTCCGCGCGCAGGCGTCCTTTCTCGAATTCGCACAGATGGGTATAAAAATACGGCCAACTTTAAATCGTATTGATTATATACGCACTCATTAGGGGAATCGGCATTTCAGACGACTAGGTACTTGCAGCTGCACGCTGTATCCGATCCGTAGCGGTCCCCCCACATTGCGCACTGCATTGACGACCGCCGCGCAGAGTTTTCCCGTGCGTGCCCCCTGATTGGCTCATCTTGCGTCGCTCGCTGGCTACTCTGCCGCACCAGCTTTTGGTCATATCCCCTTCCATCGCGCCTCGACAGGTCGAATGACGAAGCCAACGGTACGCTCCTGCTATCATTTCCCGCAAAAGGGGCAGTGTCAACCCCAGTGTAGCATGAGTGGGAGGATTGAGAGAGGTGGAAGGCTACTGCAGTCGGAATCTCGCAAGGGAGCGAGATTGCTAGCGCTGTGGCCGTCGATGCCGCGACGCTGGCGTGCTTGGTCCCATGAGGTGGGCGCAAAGCCTCGAGAACGAGGCAGACCCTCTCGCACAGACTTGCACAGTGTGCCGCGCGTCGAGTCGTGTGTCGGACGCCACCGTCATCGTTGCAGTCGCCCGCCACCGTCATCGTTGCAGTCGCCCGCAGCAGGCTCAAAATGACCTACCTGGTCCATACATACGGTACACGTGTTGTGCGTGATAAGAAATATGGGTGCCGCAGAGAACTTGCCTCAACGTACGAACTACTGTTGTGTGCAATGCTGCAGCAACATTGCAGTACAGGAAGCATCTCGCCGGCAGCTCTCGCCGGCTGCCTCTCGCTGCCAACATCTTCTTTCCTATCCCCGCTCAGCCGCTCAGCTTCCCCGCTCGTGTGATATTACAGGGCTCACGGCGCCATCTCGGGAGCTGATCGTCGCCCTCGCCAACTGCCATCCACCGCCGCTCTACCCCTCGTATCACCGCCGACAACATCGTGCCACCGTTGATCGTTGGTCGTTGGTCGGCGTCTTGTGTCGGTGTCCTATAGAGACGTAGTGCGTTTCTTCGAACACCAAGTTGGCCTTCAGGTGGCGACTGACTAAGCTTTTCGCCGTATCGATACTGTTGACAGTCAGTGTAAGCCGAATGAATCAGCTCAGTGAGAGAGACCCACGACAGAGCCACGCCATCATTCGTAACGATCGAAGTTGCGTATCTCGGCGCACCATGGCGAGGACGCAATTCGTAAAGCCAGAGCAAGAGTATGGTGTCTCTCACCGCCGATCTCGCCGTGTTCTGACGGATTCTACTACCTCGCAGCTGTCCCAAGCAGCCTTGCTATGATGGATGATGTCGCTGCTGGTGGTGCTTGTGCTGGACGCTCAACGCTGCTTGTGCAACGTGTTGAGGAAGAGCAAGGTCATCGCAGGCTGAGAAAAGGCGCTCCCGCTGAAGGATCCTGCCGTGTCGCTTGCGTGCGATCTTGAGCGTTTTGCTAACCGTCGTTGGTGGAACGATAGTATCATGGGCATCGAATGGGCGCCGGTGCTCTGGAGCACGTCGGCCGCCATGGCCTTTGTACGTGCTCGCGGCTTCCGTCTATGGTTCTTATCGTGCTGTAGATGATGGGCGTAGCTATCGCGGTACCGTGCACCTCGTGGTTGGCGTCACGGGACCTGAGATTTGTAGGTGTTGAGCTGCAACATGGTCATTTCGTCGCCGACATACCGCTCGATCCATCCGAGTTCAGCCACGTTTGCGGTTTTGCAGAGCCAGATCGTGCTCGGCGGACTCGTTAGCGGCGTCGCCTTCTTCGTGCGTTCATACTCTCTCGTTTATGGCGGCGAGACCGACTTTGTCCAGGGCCGTTGTTGTCTTCAATCACAGCGCGCTCCGTCCCTCAAGATTGTACGCTTCATCGTTGGCTCGCGTCTTCTCTCATGACGCGCCTAGTACATGCTCGTGACGGCGGGCTTGGTCGTTCTCGAGCTCGGCTTTGGCGGCTTCTTCCTCCACCAAGCAGCGTATCCTGCGGTACACGACTACAGATCGAGCCGCTTGGCCAAAGGACATGCTAGCTCGATATGTGCGCGTCGCTGGGGCGCCGGAACGCATCGTCGGAAGCCTGCACCGCCCTTCTCGGTGACGACCGCTACACCGCAGGCTACGACATGTGGTCCTCGTCTCTCCATGGTCGTCCATATCTAACTGCATATTGTGTAGGCAACGGGTGTGGCGCCAAGCGACCGAGCCAGACTTTTCTGTTGCCGCCGGCCAAGTACACCTTACAGACTTGTGTTCGGAGTTGCAAGCGCGCCTTGTAGCTGCTTCAAGGGATTCAAAATGACGGCCAGTGCTGCGGGTTCAGCAACAAGCGCAGCTGCGCTCGCAGCCTCCATCCAGCGTGCGCAGCTTCGTCGGGCGCGTTCTGCGCGCAGTCAACGTCCGAGCGCGTCGCAGCCGACTGCGCGATCCCGATCGACTGGGATCTTCCGTTTGGTGGCGAAGGACAGGGCAGCACGGGGCGGTGTCTCGAAGACAATATGGCGTCGGGCGATGGGTGCGTGCTCGGTTGCATATTCCATATTGAGCGCGACTAGGTGCTTTGTCACGTGGCTCTTGTACCTCCAGTCGCAACTGGAGCACTTGGGCATTCTTTGGCTCGTGGTCGCCAGTATTCAATGCTTCTGCGTGCTCGCCTCGTGGTATTATATTGCCGACAGCCAGCAACGATACGCGACGAGCGTGCACCGCGATCCCCAGGGCGCCGCGCTCTTGAAGGCCCGCTCGACAGTGTTGTGACGTTGGTACTCGACTGCACATCATATATTCATATGCGCAAATATTATCTCACTTCGCACCCTGGTTGTCCTTCAACACGACAGATATTGCCGTTCCGACAGTGCAATCATTATGCTCCATGAGGTGCAGTCGAGGGCGCGTCGTTCTGTACGATGGCATGGTAGACACAGGTCGACATGAAGGAGTCGCACAAGCGGCACGACCATCGTACTGTTCACTATGGCGACGTCGAGTGTCTTCATATTCAGTATATATTCAATATTGCACTGTTCAGCGCGCCTACGTTGGCCTCAATATGATGGGCGTGCCAGATGGTGAGCGGCGGACTTCCTATTTTTCGCACGATGGCCGACGTCGTATGCAGCGCTTGCGGCGAGGCCACCAACATCCTCTTGGCGCAGTGCGCCTCATGCAGCGCCGACCTGCCCTCGGAGCATGAGCGACTCGAGCTCCTCGTCGGGCACGTGCAGGCGCTCTCGGCAACCATCGAGCGGCTCCACGAGCAGGTCGCGGCCGTGGACCTCCGCGCTTCGGCCGTCGAGCACGAGCAACACCAGCTGCAGCGCGACCGGCTCGCGTTCGAGGTCGAGAAGCAGCAATGGTACTACGAGCGACAGCCCGAGGAGCCGCCGATTCGACGCATCGAGCTCGGACAGTTTGCTTCGGCGTCGGTCCTGGCGGACGGCGCCACGTACGACATCCGCGCCGGGACGATCGAAGGCAAGACCGTCGTGCAAAAGAGGCTTCGGGATCCGAGCCAGTTCTCGAGCTTTGTGCAACTCGCGTCCTTTCTCTCGCTGTACGTGTCCGCTGTGCAGTACTACATGCGGCTCACAGCATCGACGTAGGCTCAAGAGCGACTACATTGTCAGTCTTCTCGGCTCGACGGCGTGGAAGGCCGAGATCGGACCGGCCTTGTACTTTGAGCACATGGAGCTCACCGACTTGCGCTCGTACATGGCGTCGACGCCCCGCGACGCATTCTCGTGGGACGCCAAGTTTCAAATTGCGCTTGGCGTCGCCCATGCTCTCTCGTACTTGCACAAGATGGACCTCTGTCACGGAGCGCTACGTCTCGACCACGTCTTACTCAACGGCAAGAAGCACGCCAAGCTCACGGGCTTCCAAGCGGCGCCGAGCGAGGACGGCATGGCCGGCGACATTACGGCCTTTGGCCAGCTCCTCCTCGAGTTGGCGAGTCACGGCCGCGAAGACCTCGACGCGTACGACAGCCCCAAGTGGTACAAGGCGATTCTCGAGCACTGCGTTGTCGACCTCGAGGAGGAGCAGGACGAGGTCCAGCCGTCGGCTGTCGACCTCGTCTCGGTCTTTGAAATGTACCCGAGCATGAAGCGCGCGCACAAGGCCGGCCCCACGACGCCCTGCACCGTGACAGTCCATCGCGCCCAGGGCCTCGCGAATCCGCTGGTCTTTGGTGCGCCGCAGCGCTACTGCCGCGTTCGCGTCGGCGGCCAAGTACTCGAAACCAAGGTCCAGGACCACGCTCATTGGAACGAAGCATGCATCTTTGACGCCGTCGACCCGCTCGTCATGGAGCTCGAGGTCGACATTCTCAATGCTGACGGCGGCCGCCTCGGCAAGTGCAGCGTTGCGCTGCTGGATGTGATGAGCCTCCGCCGCCCGAGCCTCGAGCTCTGGCTCCAAGTGTATTCGACGGGAAAGCCGTGTGGTGAGTTGCACGTGACGCTCGAGTTCCCGAACGTAAGCCTCCGCGACCGCTTCGAAGCCTACCGCGCCTACTTGAACGACGCAAGCCCGCGCGCCGTCCACTCGCTCCTCAAGGCCAAGTGCGACCGCATCTTGCTCGAGCGCGGCCCAGAAGCAACCGCCAAGATCATCCCCGGCGTCGTCATGCTGCGCTAGCCCACGCAAACAGAAAAACTTAGTCTTTATCGTGTGACCCTTCAAGATAGCAAGTTAGCATTCGTATACATTCTTCCGAGTCCCTATAGCTAGCATCCAAATGTACTTCAGCCAGAACAGGACGTATCATCCACCCCTACCCCTACCGTGTACCCCACCCTAGTGCAGCGCACGGCGTCGGGACGCCACACATTGTGAGAGCCCCAAGACGAGGACTCCGTCGAGACTCATCGAGCGTTTTGAAATAACACGAGCTTGGATCTACTGCTTTTGCAATGGCGTCGCCGGGGGCACCTTGAACTGACGACTCAGCACGATGAACGACGCGACAATGTTGAGGCAGTTGTACGCTTGGCGGTCGCTCGTTGTCCGGAAGCGGTCGAGGGTCGCGACCACATAGCCCCAGTCCATCCAGCCCAGTTGCGCTACTGCGTCTTGCGTAATCGTATTTTGAAGGAATCGCCACTGGACGTCGTCGTCGGCCATGTCACAGGGCGGCGCCAGAAATGGCTTTTTAGGCCGCGTATACAGCTCGTCCGAGATGAACGGCTTGGCGGCTTCGCGCAGCACCCACTTGTCGACGAGGGTACCGTCGACGACGCGGAGCTTGACGTTTGGTGGGAGACCATTGACGTAGCTCGTGAGCCGGTGGTCCAAGAACGGCACGCGACCTTCGATCGAGTGCGCCATCTCGCTGCGGTCGCCCAAGTGGTTGCACAAGTAGTTGGGCAAGTGCACGCGCGTCTCTAGGCACAGCGCCGTGTGCAGCGGGTGCCACTCGTCCCGCGCCAGACGCCGCTCATCCGGCGACAGCGCGTGCACGTACGCGTCCATGGTCGATGGCGCAATGGGAGGCAGAAACAGCGGCTTGGGGAGCCCGCAAATCGTCGACAAGAGTCGATGAATACTCACGTTCGCAAGACGAGTTCGGCTTTGGACTTCGTCGTCGAACGACATAGGCACACAGCCGATCGCACTCCACATTTTCATGTCGGTTGCTTCAATCGCCGCCAAGCGAGCGACGCGGTCGGCGGTGGGCAGTGCAGGCGGCGTTGTCTCGTGCCGAAAGAAATCCGGGTAAAACATCGAGTAGCCAGCAAAATGCTCGTCCGCGCCTTCACCTAGTTCAAGGTTGAGGTTCTTAGTGGTGAAAAGAGAGGAAGGACCTGTGAGGACGACCTTGAAACCAGCGTCGCGCACGTAGCGCGAGAGGAGAAACTTGGCGGCGCCGTTGAAATCGTTGAGCGGTGCTTCCCAGTGCCACACGGCGTCGGCAAAGGCCGCGGTCAAGTCGGCTTGCGTGATCTTGAGCACGTGGTGACGCGTGCGCGCGTGCGACGCGGTGCGGGCGGCCACGTCGCCTTCGTCATAGCCGACGCCGTCGTACTCCTACACCATTTTTTACACTAAAGTGATTCATGCATTCCGTGTACGCGGTCGGTGAACGAAATGGTAAACGCGTCTAGTTGCGCATCCGGATCGGTTTGACGCAAAATGTCGAGTGCGATACCGAGCACCGACGACGAGTCGATGCCGCCACTAGATCGATCGCCCACATTAGTCGTTTAGTACATTGTGCCATGGTCCGAGAGACTGCTGTACCTGAGGTACACGGCCACGGGTACGTCGCTGCGGAGACGCGTGCGCACCGCGTCGTAGAGCCGGTCGCGCACGCCAGCAACCATCTCGTCGAGCGAGCGCGGATCGACTTGGCGCTTGTGCGGAAACGTCGGACGAAAGTAGCACTCGAGACGCTTCGACCCCGAGGCCGACACCACCAGCGAGTGCGCAGGCGGCAGCTTGTTGACACCAAGAAAGAGCGTGCGTTGGTCGGAGAAGTACCCGCTGCTCGCAATCGCATGCACGTCCCACTGCGGCGACCATCCGAGCGCTAGAAATGCTTTGGCCTCGCTTGCGACAAGGAAGCGGTTGCCTACTTGGGTGTAGAAGAGCGGCTTGATGCCGTACCGGTCGCGGCCACAGAATAGCTGCTGGCGCGCGCCGTCCCAGAGCACAAAGGCAAACTCGCCGACAAGGTGCTCAAGCGCGTCGACGCCGTGCTCGCGGTAGAGATGCACAAGGATCTCCGAGTCGCTCTGCGTCGCAAAGACGTGTCCGTCACTAATCAAGGCCGCGCGGATCGCCTCGAACTCGTAAAACTCGCCGTTGACGACCGCGTGGACGTCGTCCGGCGCGTGCAGCGGCTGCGCGCCGTGGGCCACGTCCATGATCGAGAGCCGCGTGTGGCCCAGCCCGACGGTGTTCGCGTCGGTCCACGTCCCACGGCCGTCGGGACCGCGGTGGTGCAGCAGGCCCAAGGCCGCGTCGAGGTCGGGCGGCGGCAGCACAACAGGCGAGGGACCCGGCAGCTCCAAGTGGGCGACGATACCGCACATGCCAAATTCGAATATGAAATCGGTCAAGATATCCTGCGAACCAGAATCCTGGAGCCGGCAGCAACGTCTGGCCCCACTTTGGGGCATACGCCGTCTGTCTAAAGGGCAAACTGCCTGTCCGCCAAGCGTACGAAAAGTGCAGTGCATACATAGCGCCGTAGATTAGAAAAGTCGGGTTCTGCTCGTCGACGCGAGGACACCGGTACCGCCTCAAGAAAGCTGGCCGCTCAAGTCGACGAGCTCATATTGTGGGCGATGCAGACAGCGACGGCTTCAATGGCCAGCGCGGTTGTGGGCGATAGCCATGCTAGCTCAGCAACCAACGGTCCCGTCCTGTGCACTCATCAAAAACTGTGGTGCACAAGGGTGCCTGCAGCCCGAATACCTGCGAAATCGAATCTAGAAAGCCTCCCAAAATACATATTTTAAACGTTGTGTCGACTGGGTTGTCCGTGGCGATGGCTCGTCGGTGGCTTGTCAACATAAAGATTAACGATGTGCGATCGTGGAGATGTAGGCGCCCGCACCGTAGCCTTCGGCCGAGCGAGGCGTCGCGCTGCATCTACTCTTGCGTCCGAGGTCATTCGCATGTACACCAACCACAGGCGCACGACCGCCTCTGGCGTCTCTGAGCTCAAAGCAACCGTTTAGAGTCGTTGTGCTCACGAAATGCAAGTGCAATATGACACGATACGCACGCGCCTTCTCACGTTGCCACGTGTCCTGGTCAGCCGCTTGAGGACATTTGATTGACGCATCCAAAAATCATGCGCGTGGATTGGCTGGCAACCAAAACTGCCAGATTCGATAAAATGCACTTCCTGATACGCCCACGACCCGATCAAAAGTGCACGCAAGCGCAAAAGCGCGCACTCAGAATGTCGACCCAGGTCGCTCAGGTCGCCAAGGTCGCCAAATCGTCGCAACCCATGGACACGGTCATGACCGTGGAAGCTGTCGTGATCAACATTGCGCAGTTCATACACGATGTCGCCGGCGTCCTCACGTTGCTCGAGGCCGTGCCGTTGACGCCGTTGCTGTCGTCGCTCCAGCGGCTGATGGAGCGTCTGGAGATGCGCACCGAGGCTCCGAGTTGCTGGCCGCACCTCTCAGTGTTGGGGCTCAAGCGCAAAGACCGTGCCGCCGCACTGGCTGCGATGCCGGCCATCGCCTCGGTCCGTGCCGAAGACGTCTTTTTCCGAAATTTTGAGCGCTGCGATGTCCCCTGCAGCGCCGCCTTTCTGGACTTTCTTTGTGCGACCGCCGACAAATGGCCGGCCAAGCTATCGCGCGTCGGCCTTTCGATGCCACCGAGCGACGACGACGTGGCGCGCGTCTGTCGAGCGCTACGCCGGTGCGACCATCTCGGCAGCATTCAAGTCAACGCTGTCGACCAGTGCCACACGTCCGTGCTGGAGGCGGCGCATCACATCCGTTGTCTTGAATGGGTGTACGACGGCTACTCGAGTGTCGTTGCACGAGCGCTGATGTGGTCGGCGGCCATTACGGCCTGGCTGATCGCGGGTCCAACGACCCACATCGGATTCCACCGGCTTGACTTCACCTCGTACAGCTCGGCTGGCCCGCTGTGGTCTCTCCATGACGACGACCTCGCGTTTGCAAAGGCGCTCGCAACCGTGCCGAGTCTTACGCTGCAAGGTGCCGATAGCATCGCCGACATGCTTGTGGGGCTGCACACTCCGCTCCATGCTCTGACGCAACTGAGCATCAACGCCGAAGATGTCGCCCGCGTAGAAGGCCTTTTCGGTCTCGTCGACTTGGCCAAGATCACGCACCTCGATATCACACTGCGTGGACGTCAGCAGGACCTCCTCAGTTGTTTTGGCGCGGCGCTGCCCCAGCTAACGTCGCTGCAAGAGCTCAGGCTAGACGGGATGGCTCTGGCAGAGGCAACGACAACGAGTCTCCGTGTCGTGTGCATCGACAATGTCGAGTGCTCGGAGCTTGCGGCGCATCGCCTTCTCCAGTGGATCTCGTCCTCGCCGTGCCTCAACGAAGTGTCGTGGTACGGCCTCGAATACGCCGACATCCTCTACACGGAGCTCGCAACGAACTTGCGCTCATGGATCGACGTCGGCGTGCACCGCGTGGGGCTGACAAGGGCGGGTCTTGACGATGCCGGCGCGACAGAAATGGCGCAGGTCCTGCGCGACACGCATCACGCGTCCGGCCTGATGCTGGACTTCCGATTCAACGACTTTTTGGACGTCGACGGCGCACGGGAGCTCATTAACGCGCTCGGAACCTGCTCAAACGTCACGCTTGCTCTTGACCTCTCGGATACGACGCCTGTCGAGACATTCGCAGAGTTGTTCGCCTCGCACAATCTGACATGGCGCATCAAGTACGATGAGCAGAATATGTGCGACTTTCTCAGCGTGTCCAGCCAAACGACCCAAAGGCGCGCGACGTAGCTTGCATCTGCGCTTCGATTATAGACGAATTTTGTTGCCGACCAAGTTAATGCGAGTAGTTGCTCGTCGCTTGAAGTCGTTACAGCCTACTAGGAAGGCGGCGCGAAATGTCATGGTCTGGTCAACGCTTGCTGCTTTTCCATTCCACACTCACGAGGACGGTGAACGTGGTGCATGGTCTCATCCCCGAAGACGCTCGGCGCCTACGAAAACCCTAGCCATAAGACTTGAATCATAAGACTTGAATCGGTGCCAGACTAGTATTCAATGAGTCATTTGAAACTAAATACTCTTGTCCGACTTTTTCATCTGTGTAGTAGTTCCTACACGACAAAGGGTGTGGTCTAGCCTGCGTCGATGGCCATTTCTTGAATAGGCTACGTTGATCCAGGAGCCGGAATCGAACCGCAGACCACCTGCACGCGAATCGCACCGTGCGACTCGGTCGCGATGGCGGTCGCAAACGTCTCCATCTGCGTCTGGGTCGCCATAACATCGC